CATTTGGATGTCTTAGTGATATCATAATTCAGTGATCTTATGCTCGTTAGATTTGTCTCGTCGAGCCACTCGATTTAGCTATAAGAATGTCACATTTGAAAAATGTTTCGTGATCCAAATTGTGGTTTGAACATTTTAACAGTGCTTTGGGTCCTTAAATTAGACCCATTTGGGCCCGCATTGAGTCTAATTTGGTGTCGTTGTGTTCATATTTTTGAAAGGTTCAGTTCGACTATAAGTTTAATTTCAAATGATCCCAATTTTAATTTCAAAAAATTCCAGCTTGATTTTGTCTGGTTATTCATGCCCCGATGAAAATTATTTGTAGATGACACATCACTCTTTAAGGGGCTGTTTGGTATGCGGATTTAGCGGGATTTGGCGATGGATTTGGGCGAAATCCAGCCAAACGGCCTAAAATGCAAATCCAAATCTCACGGTATTTGAAATCCGCCGTTGACGGAAAAAGAGCTCCTTTTGCGGTAAATCCCGGATTTCGGAAATCCCCATATTCCGCGGATTTAACTTGTTACTCGCGGGAGGGGTGATTAAGGCCCATTTAGAGCCATGGTTGACCAAGTCCACGTTTGACTTGGTCAAACCAGTCAAGGGGGTCCATGGGGATGAGGGATTGAGCCAAGCCAAGGTCCAAGTGCATCCAAACTTGATTTGGACTCTAAAAGGGCTAAGTGGTCAACCTTGGTTGACTTGGTCAACCGGGTTGACCCCGGGTCCAAGCTCGGGCTCGACAGACTCGACTCGACCCACTGAACCCAGTGGGGAGGGCCATAGGGTCTAGCTTGGTCAATTTGACCAAGTTAACTCTTTGGGCTCGGGTCTGGGCAAAATCGAGGTCAACAATCACATATCCCTGACCCTGACAGAATCTCGACAGATTCTGACCCCTTATGCCTCTCTTCCCTGACACTAACAGAATCTCAGATTCTGGCCCCTTATGTCTCCATTTGTGCTTATAGCACATGAACAGAACAGATATACAGAATTTTCAGAACAGAATTATTTTCAGATTTCCCTGCTACAGACAGAATCTCAACTGATTCTGACCCCTTATAACTCCCTTCTGATAGCACATCACATCAGAACATTCAATTCAGAAAATCAGATTTTGTCAGAAAATCGTCAGTGGTATAATGGCAGTATACGGAATTTACACAAAATTCACAATTTCAGAAATTTACCAAATTACCACAGATAGTGCAAAACATCATTGTAAGACTTTCATTGTACTGTAGCAATAATTTCAGACATCTAGATAAATTATTATTCGATCAAAACCCCGTAGAATTCAAAATAGCCGATAAAAATCTTTCATAAAATACTCAAAACGTGCACAAATATCATTTCAGAAATATACCAAAAGTTATGCGGTAAAAAGTTCATCAGTACAAAACGGAATCAATTATTCGCTAACGGAGACAAAATCCGAAACAGAAAAGTCGTCAAAATCCTCTTTTCTGAAAATTGAGAAAGGCGGAATGTGCCTTACCTCGAGTAGGTCAACTTTTCCAACGACAGTGACGGACGGAAACAGACCGAAGTCGCCCAAAAATCACTTTTCTTCTTTTTTCCTTCGATTTTCTCTCTCATGGCTTTTCTCTCTCTTCAAAAAGATCTCATTTCCATATATATCCAACCAGATCGTCTCGGACGCTCCCAAATCATTCCGGGACGATTTGCCCACTGGATGAATTTCGTTCAAATGAAATAATTATCGTTCTCGGACGAGTTGCTCTCTGGAAAAATTTCGTATGTACGAACCTCATTTCGTCCTGGGACGAACCTCCCAACCAAAAATTCTGTACAAACCTGTACTGATCGTCCCTGGACGATCCTGGAAGGAAAACAGCTTTCACAGAGACAGTGGTCATAAATATCATTGTCTGGCGATTGAGATCGGAAGGACCGTAGTAGGCAACCTCCGCTATAGTCGGTAGGAGATATGGGTTAGAAAGACTGTTGTTTTGCGATGGAGGTCGGAAGGACTATAGTAGGCGACAAAGATCAGAAGTACCATAGCCGGTAGGAGACAGAGAGTTAGGAAGAGTGTTGTCTAGCGATGGAGGTCGGAAGGACCGTAATAGGCAATAGAGGTCACGACAGGAGATAGGGGTCAGAAAGACCGTTATCTGGTAATGGAGGTCGGAAGGAGTATAGTAGGCAGTAGAGATTGGAATGATCATAATCGACAGTAGATAAGGGTCAGAAAGACTGTTATATGGTGATGGAAAACTGAAGGACTGTAGTAGGCGACGGAGGTCGTAAAGACCATAGTCAGCGGGAGATAAGGGGTAAAAAGATCATTGTCTAGCGATGAAGGTCGGAAGGACCGTAATAGGTGATAGAGATTGAAAGGATCGTAGTTGGTAGGAGACAGTGTTCAGAAAGACCAATCTCTAGCGATGGATGTTGGAAGGATCATAATTGGCAGCAGATAGGGGTCAGAAAGATCATTATATGGTGATGAAGGTCGGAATGACCGTAGTAGGCAACGGAGGTCGAAAAGATCATGGTTGACAGGAGATAAGGGGTTAGAAAGACCATAGTCGTAAGGTGGTGGTCTGGAGGAAGTCTGGGTGATTTTCGATGGTCTAGCTGAACTCCAAGTTCTGTCAGTGGTCCGGCGAAAGTTTGAGCCTTAGTTGGCGGTTCAGCAGTGGTTTGGCAAAACTCCGATGTTAAGCGGTGGTCCGGTGAAACTCCGGCATCAGGTAGTGGTTCGACGAAACTCCGGCGTCAGACGGTGGTCCGATGGAAGTTTGATGTCGGGTGGTGATTTGGCAGAACTCCGACATCAGGTGATTGTTTGGCAGAACTCCGGTGTTTGGCGGTGGTCGAGGAGGAGCGAGGAGATAAGAGCAATCTCCGATCTCTCTCTTGGCCTCTTGCTTTTTTTTTTTGTTGAAGAAATACAAATTGCATTAAAAGAAGAAAACCTAATACAATCTAGAAAGCAAAAGCAAACCCTTTAAAACTATCATAATGGATATGCGATTTACTAAATTTCATTTTAGATTCATTGGAGTGATGGGGATACCAAATATTAAAACAACCTAAGAGGTTGGTTAGTATCCCAGCTTTCCCAAAGGATGGAAAATGAAACATAGTAAAAATCTCATATTTCATCATAATGGTTTTAAAAAGGTGTAAGATGCATATAAGCAAAACAAGTAAAAGAAAACTAGTTACAAGAAAAATGAAAATAACTTCTAAACCAGCTATCCAAACATCTTCCTGACCCTCATCAATCTTAGGGTCCAACAAGCTCCAAACAGCCTCTTCACAAGCTAAGTCATATAAACTGAAAATCGTCATCACATCCATCATATTGGCAAGAACAACACCAGTGATAATCCAATGTAAAGCCATAACATCGACAACCACCTCAAGAAGCCAATAACCGGCCTCATCAATGCCAAAGCCAACCAAACTGATAATCATAACCATTCTCATCACATAGACAAGAGAGAAACAAAAAAACTTCAAGTCCTTCAAATCTTTAATCAAAAAGACTTGATCTTCAAAGAACAACTGAAAAGCAATAGACCAAACAACCACCTCGTCATTACTGACATCAACCAACAACTACCTCAACAAAGTCGATCCATGGCCAGAAGCTCCAATAGGCCAAGAGACGACCTCAAACAAACCTTGATCCTCATGGATCAAAGAAATAATAATGGCAATACCAAAAACCTCCTTCCAAATGTAGTCCCAAAAATTATCCAGCATAAGGATACTCACTTCACTAACCTCAGCTTTATCAGAGCATCCACTCGAAAACATAAGAATGGCCTCAAAACCAATAACAAGTTTCTTCAGAAAAAGTGTATCCAAATCTCCAAGAATCTTGAAGAAAAATAAAAAAACTGCTCAAAAGATCTTTAAACATATCCGTCCCAACCAGCATTTCATTCCTCAGTTGAAAATTTTCAATCCAAAAATCTCCAAGTAACAACCGAATCCGCCTCATGAAAATCCCATTTCAATCATCAAACACCAGGAAATACCATATCTAAGAACTAAATCAATGTCATTAAGAAATCCAGACAAAATTAAACGATAATTATTGAAAAACTTCTCAGGGGTTTTCAAAGCCAAACAACCATTCAAGAAGTCATCTACAATCAAGAATTTAGCCTCTGAATAAAAATCACAAACAAAAATCAGAAACCGATGTAAAGAGAACCGAAATCCGGCTAAGATCCATCAAACCCATCTTGGAATCCATCATATCTCTACTCCGATTCTTCAAAGACCCTCCGTCTGCCATCCAGGCCGACTGAGAACCATCGCCCTCCACGGATTCTGTCAAAATCACGAAGATCTTTTCGTCGCTCAATATTCGCTCAAGAATCGCCTGACTCTTCGCCTCAAAGAACCCATCTTGCCCTCTTGCTTGGGGGCTGCTTTTTTCATGAGAAGTGAGAGGTCTATTTATAGATTTCTGAGAGTGACATGATATGTAAATAGAAGGAAGATCAAGGGTATTTTAGTAGTGGTTTGTATGGACGACCGATGTTGATTCCCTTGATCATGGACCGTTTGTTGGGCATTTGGATGTCTTAGTGATATCATAATTCAGTGATCTTAGGCTCGTTAGATTTGTCTCGTCGAGCCACTCGATTCAGCTATAAGAATGTCACATTTGAAAAATGTTTCTTGATCCAAATTGTGGTTTGAACATTTTAACAGTGCTTTGGGTCCTTAAATTAGACCTATTTGGGCTCGCATTGAGTCTAATTTAGTGTCGTTGTGTTCATATTTTTGAAAGGTTCAGTTCGATTATAAGTTTAATTTCGAATGATCCCAATTTTAATTTCAAAAAATTCCAGCTTGATTTTGTTTCGTTATTCATGCCCGATGAAGATTATTTTTAGATGACACATCACTCTTTAAAAGTGGACAAAAATTTAAAAATATAAGATTTAAATTATTATTATTATAATTAATAATCAATTAAATAATTAATGTAGGTGGTGACCCGTCTATGAAATCTTCTATGAATGGAAACGGAGGACAATAAACCCTTTGGTCGGGTGAACTCGGCAATTCTGCGAGCATAAGTAAATCTCTGGTTCTCAGATCTCGAAGCTCTGAGGTTTCTCCATCTGCGACAAGGCAGGTTCTTCATCTCTCTCACACTGCGCTCGCTCTTTCTTTTTTTAATTTCTTTTTCCATAAGTTCACCGCTTGAAGAATTGTACGGCATTTCAATTCGTTCTTTGTTTATTGCTATGGAATGTTCTTGATCATACTTGATGAACTCCTGAAATGAGAAATTGTTCCGTCCTTTTGAATTAATTTCTACTGTATTTGATGGAATTAAGAGTTGATGCCATAGAAAATGGATGTTCCATCTCTCTGACATATACGTGATGCGATTAATGTATATGCGTTGGAAATTGTTTTTTTTTTCAGACTATCTAATTGGGGCACTAGCAAAATATTCAGAATTGAATTCTAAACGAGGTTGCTTTTAGTAGGTCGTTGTCATTTTGGCCCCGAAACATTCAGATTAAGTTTTCCTCGATTGATCTATGCAAATCAGTGCGGAACCAGAGTTTGTTTCTGTGCATATTAAAGATCAGAAGATCCTTTTTTGATTTTGTATGTTTACTTGAAATTTTGAGACTACTACGCATATTCTTGTGCCTGTTCCTGTTGTCATAGAAAGTGAAACTATTTGAGAATATATTTTTATATTTTATTATGTAATTTTCCATCTTTTGTTAAAATTGTCTGATTAAGAGGTAAGATAGTAAGATGCATCTGCTATGCACTGACTTCTTTGAAGGATACGTTGTCATTTGATTGTACTTAGTTGTGATGAGTTGTATTTTTTTATGATTTAGGTTTTCTATTGCTTCTTTCGAAGTGCTTGGCACTCTTTCCACAACAAGAAGAATTATGAACTCAAGAAGGTTTGCACAAGATTCTCCTTATCCCATCTCCCCTCCCTCTCTTGGTCCGGTTGGATACAACAAGATACAATAGAGAAAAAAAAGGATTCATGTAGCCGACCCCACATAGTGGGATAAAGGCTTGTTGTTGTTCTTGTGTTGAATCATATTAGTTTATCCGAATTGATGTTATCTTTTGCCTTATTTGAAAGGACTATTGGTGACAACGTAAATAAGTAGTTTTGAACAATGTTTAATTAGGGGTAGACACATTCAGATAATGCAACATCATGATGCCTTCACATGCTACAAAGCCATGTTAATTACATTGCTTAAATGTCATAGTAGGCTAAGAGATATATTTGTTCATTTCTTAACTGTACCTGCTGCTCTATTTTGCATTTGAATAGCTTCGAGTCATTTTTTTTAGTGCATGCTCATCTTTAAGATGATATGGGAAGTAACTTTTGTTATCATAAGATTAAATCACCATCGTAAGAGTTATCCCAACCATTGCAGTTAATTTTATGAATTTTTATTTATCATTATTTTCGGCTTGTTGATGCATAAGCTGTTAAACTAATTCTTTGTAAATTATCTCAAACAACTTCTATCCATATTACCTCAGGAGTAGGATAGCTTAAAATCCTCATTTCCAAAATATAGTATTGACAAAAATATTATAGACAACTAAAATATAGCTTTAACTGAGAGATACCACCTACTTATAAAGGAACTATTGCAAATAGGACAAGTTTGTTCTAATACTTTTAAGCTATCTTCTAAGTTGTCTATAATATTCTAACATTTCATATATTTTGTTAAAAGCCTCAGTTAAAGCTATGTGATAGTTGATGATCTCGAGTATTTCCTATCCATCTTCGGAAAACAGCGAGCTTCTTCACAAAAATCCGCACAAAACCAAGAAAGCAATAGAAAAATTGTATTATTTGATGAAATAGAAACAAAAAATAGCAAGATACAGTTGATCCTCAATTCGAGAGGAGGATCGATCTCTCCCAAATCTCTAGACGCCGCTAAAGCCCAAAGAAAACCTAAATCTAGAGATCTCAAATTTTTGCCAAACTCAAGATGCACTAACCCTAGGAAAACAAACTATTTAATGCATACCATTCAAAAGGAAATTTCTAAACAGTCCCTACATTCAATTTCCCTCGTAAACTTTCTAAAAAATCCTTCCTAAAACGGCTTACGCACGCCATGCGTGCATTTGGCGTGTACAAGAGGCGGAGAAATCCGCCTCTATTCACGTAGGCCGGTCCAGTCAGGCTGTATGGACTGGTCTAACAATACTCCCCTCTCAATGATCCATCTTGTCCTCAAGGATGGGATGCTGTTGATAGCTTTCTTCAGCTACTATGTTAGTGGCCATACTATCGTTCACTGGAACCAAGCTAAAGTTTTTCCTTCCAAACATAGGGCCGCTGTTGCCAGTTTCTCCTCCTCCGTCACCCCATTCACCATGAGACACATCTCCACCCTGTACACCCATCCATAAGCATCCTCCCTTTCCAATACTGGCATCCCCAACTTCCTTTCCCTAGGATCACTACCACCCCAATATCTTCTTACTCCTTCAGTGCAGCGGTTGTCTTCCCCCATGTATCGAGGGTGAGAATCCCCCTTTCCTTCCCTTTGCCTCACATGACCCGATCCCCATGTTTCGGCCCGTCGCACTCACCTTGCCCAAAAGACCTCCCATAGTGGTTGACCACCCCACCACCTTCACCACGAAATGCCCTTCATGTTGTCCTCCCATCTGCTAACCCTACCCCACTCCTTATCGAAGCCCTAGGAGGTGGCTCTTGACCCCATCCTTCTCCGATGAGTGGCTCCCCTTGCCCAAAATGCCTCTCATAGTGGTCGGAGCCGTCTTACCGCCTCCACCAAAAGATTTCATCTTTGTTGTCCTCTTATCTAGAAACCCTGATCCACACCTTATCAGAGCCACACGAGGTGGCTCTTGATGAAAGAAACTCCCCTCCTTATACTTATCTTGTCCGATTTCCTTTCCCTTCAATTCGACATTTCGACCAAGGGAAACCCGATCAAATCTTGATTAGGGTTAGCCATCGGAACCACTAGTGAAGTGTTTGTTTGCATCTCCAAGAACCTTCTTAACATCTCCTCCACCATTCTAAATCGATTTTCCATACAGTTTTCCATATATGAAAAATTTTCTCCCCATGTAGAGAACTTCTCTAAGCCGGTTTTAAACTTCTCCATAACGGCTCCATCTTCTTTGTTGTTATTAATTGGATCTAGGCTCCAATTGCACAACAACCAAGATATCTTAATTTTCCGCCCAAAAAAGCGTTCTGATACCAATTTGATAGGAAGTACTCGATGATCTCGAGTATTTCCTATCAATCTTCGGAAAACATCGAGCTTCTTTACAAAAATCCGCACAAAACTAAGAAAACAATAGAAAGTTTGTATTATATGATGAAATAGAAACGAAAAATAGCAAGATACAGTTGATCCTCAATACGAGAGGAGGATCGATCTCTCCCAAATCTCTTGACGCCACACCAAAGAAAACCTAAATGTAGGAGATCTCAAATTTCAACCAAATTCAATATGCCCTAACTCTAGGAAAACAAATTATTTAATGCATACAATTCAAAAGGAAATCTTTAAACAGTCCCTACATTCAATTTCCCTCTTAAACTTCCTCAAAAATCCTTCCTAAAATGGCTCACGCATTCCATGCATGCGTTCGGCGTGTACAAGAGGCGGAGAAATCCGCTTCTGTTCACGTAGGTAGGTCGAGTCGGACCGGCTGGACCGGTGTAACACTATGCCATTTGCAAAAAGCTTACACCAATGCATCACACTTTGAATATTATTTGTTAGCATATCCATAACCAATACAAAAAGATATGGACTCCATGCTAATCTTTCTCGTCACTCTACAACTATTAATGTTAGTCAACGTTTCATCAAATACATATTTTTAATAAATGACTAGTACATTTTTTTTTCTATGGGCCAATATTGTGATACTTGATCAAGTCTTTTTAAGATCAATAAAATTTATATTAAGATACTTTCTCAATTATCTATACTTTTTTGTTAATTATTTTAACACGAAAATCATTTTCTTGGTAAATCTTCCTTGTAGCAATTGAAATTGATTCTCCAATGCTAAGGGGTTATTTGCTTGTAAGTTTTTAGAATTCAAGTGTAATTCAAAGTCGATGTAAAGTAAAATCAATGCATTTGAAATAATCATGGTTGTTTGGTTGGTTGTAAATAAATTTTGAAATTATTATTATTATTTTTTTGTGTTAAGTTGAAGGCAAAATAAATTCAAAATTTTGTATTAATATTTATTTTTAAATATATTATTGTTGTAATATGTATTTTGAAACCTTTTTAAAAATAGAGCTAGGGCATGCTTAAGTGGTTAGGAGGTTCGTTGGGTGGTAAGGGATGGTGGAGACATAGGGAGAGCTCGAGGTTTTTTGCAATGTCGGCAAGAGTAAAATGAATGGAAAAATCGATGGCGATGTAGGGTGATTTGGGATGAGCAATGTAAGGTGGCTCACGAGTGAGGTTGTTGGGTAAGTGCTACTTTGTTGATCTTTTCGAGTACCAGGACGTGCGAGGAGGCTCATGAGCATTGGGATGTGCGAGGACAAGGTCAAAGAGCACTAGTTTTGGAATTTTTTCAAATTGGGTGAATTCCAAATTACTAAAAAATGAATTGTTGGATATATTCTAAACCCTTAGAGAAATACCTTGCGTTCCTTTTACACTCAACTAAATACTTAAAAATTTAAAATCCATGCATTTCAAAATCAATTCACTCATAATACACTCAACCAAGCAACCTCTAACTTATTTTTTCTAGTTTTATATTTAGTTACTTTCTTCCATTCATAAGTTTGATTTCTTTATAATGCAATCTTAAACATCTCCCATATTTTTAATAGATGGGATATTTGCTATGAATTGTTTTCATTCTTTATTTTAATTATCTTGTCTTTTTGTTCCGGTCATTTGTATTTATTTTTTACAAGTACATATTGGACATTCTATTATATGCTGAGATCATTTGCTCTATGTGCATGCTCAAAGGGATGTATTTGGTTATACCAGGGCATTTCCTTCGTTACTTATCTATAGATTTTCTCTTCTAGGGACTATCGCAGCAGCAGGGCTGCATTGTTTGATGGCATCGAAGAAGGTGGAATCAGAGCATCATCCTACTCTTCCAATGAGATTGACGAGCATGACAATGATAGGGCTGTGGATGGACTGCAAGATAGGGTTAATATTCTGAAGAGGGTAAGCTATAATTACAATATTGTGGTTCAACATATTTCCATATATATTGAATATATGTGAAGTCACATTAAACAATGACATTTTGCTCTGCATTTAGTTTGGAGTTGCCAAATTTCCCGAAGTATCTTGCATTTATTTTATTATTACAATTACTAAGCTACTTACTTCAAAGTTTCAGCTGTTGCATTCTGCATTGGGTTTCTCGTTTATGTGGCCTACTTGAATTGGATATTGTGAATTCTGGTGCATAAATCATGAACAATAAGGAACAACTGCATATTTGTTTGTTGGTACATGCAGTTGAGTTTGGTGGAAAATTCGGGGATTTATTTCTGCTTAAGGAAACAAAAATTATGGAACTGTTTTAATTTGATTTTAGCTTTATAATAGCGTCTTGGGCTCTCTTTCGAAGGTGCTCGAAAGATGATGACAACCGCGGCAGCTCCATCGATGGCCGTAATGTTGATGACTAAGGTGAAAACAAATGAATAAATGGTTTGAGTGACAATGTTAAGGGTGAGAAAAGTTGCAATAATAGCAATGATGGTATGTTGAATGCGGTTGGGCACGGGAGACTAAGATTGCAACAAAGAATTGGAAGAAGCAAGAAGAGGAAGGAAATTAAGTTTTATATCTGATTGTTGATTGGAGTTATAGGGCTGCAAACAACTAACATTGTGATGGAAGTTTCCATTGGCATAAATTAATAGAGGTTTGATGGATTTGACCATCATAAAATAAGAAAATAACTAATGTGTCTATCGCAAACTAAAGACCAAATAGTTGACCTACATATATGGCTCATAAACCGATTTGGTCAAAGGCAATGACAACAAAGATAAAGAAGGCTTCATAAAAGATTGATTCAAAGCATTTCAAATTTGTCACTTACACAGGACCTCCCAATGCTTCCAAAATGTTGAAACCTCTTGAGAAGGCCCCTTGTACTACTCAAGTTGTACAAGGAAACATTCTACAAGCCCGAGAGAAATAATTTACGGTGCAATTTAGTTCAAATAATAATAATAATAATAATTATTATAAATTTTTAAAAGGGTAAAAAATAATAAAAAATGGTATATGTTAAAATATGACACATGTATACCTCTATCAATGAAACTTTTCATGAGACTATCCTTTTATTTTCTCCCTCCTTAGTCCTTGAGCTTTTCTCGTCACCAGTAGCTCCTCTGCCTACTGTTACACCTTTACAGGAATACTATCATCAAGCTCCATCCATGCCAATACCTCCCACCATATTGTTGAATTCAATTGAGCATCCACCAATTGATGAACACCATATCTAAGCCTTGTTGTCCTTTGGAGAGGTAAAAGTCAACATATTGTTTTGCTTTTCACTCGTATGTTTAATTTGATCAATTACTAATCTCATTTCATACTTTGTTTGTCTTTTTCATATGTATTTACTGTCATGATATATCAAGATGCATTGCTACATTCTTTATGGAAGCAAGCTATGAATATTGAAATAGATACCTCAACCATCATATCTGGACTATGATAGGTCCCCCTTCTGGGGTCAAATCTATTGTCTTTCAATGGGCTTTCACTATCAAATTCTATATTGGTGGATCGATGGATTGCTACAAAACTCAGAGGGTTTACTCAGATCCATGGGATAGATTATTTTGACACATTCTCCGTAGTTGAACATATGAAGTTTGTTTACTTCCTCATGCTTGTGACCATCAGTCATGGTTGGATTATGTTAGAAATGGATGTTAAGTAATGCCTTCTTTTATGGTGACCTGCAATAAGCCGTTTATATGGAGCAGTCTCCTTTATATGTTACTTAGAGAGAGAACTATATGTCTTCTCAAGAAGGTTATCTATAGCTCAAAAATAATCCACGAGCTTGATTTGATAATCTTTGTAATATCCTGATTAAGGTTGGTCTTCGTAGTTGCACTACCAATAACTCTGTCTTCATAAAACACTACCCTGCAGAATTTGTCATTCTAGCTATTTATATTGATGATATTTTACTAACTAGAAATGACCATTACCGCATCTGTGAGGTAAAATTGAGTTCGCTTATAGTAAAAAAATAAATGTTATTTCTAAAAAAAATTGGTGCTGTCAAAGTGTAGTTAGTGAAATGTCTAATCTGATAATGTCTTCATTGGTTCTAAGCATGTTGGTATCCTTTTGTAAACCCAAATCAGATTTGATGATGATGAACTTCTAGCTTTATATAAAAATCAAAGTGTAGTTAGTGAACTTATTTATCTCTTGATTATTAGATCAGACATTTCATTTGTTGATGGGGTAATGAGTTGGTATATGCGAAGTCCAAAGGAAAATATTGGGTGGTAGATCTACAAATCCTGGTATATATCAATAAGTTTTCAGGGAAATGGTTGTTATATGCTAAATCTAAGAATTTGAATGATGAAGCATTTGTTATTTTGATTATATTGGATTAGTTGATATCAGGAAGCCAACCTTAGGACATTGCATCCTTATTCAAGGAAATTAATTATCTTAGAAAAGCAAGGAATAAACTATTGTGGCTAGATCTAATGTTAAAGCCGACTATATAGCTATGACTCAATTTACATGCGAAATGATGTGGGTTAAAGTTCTGTTAGGAGAGTTTGATTTTCCTATTACTCAACCTTTCACTCTTTATAACGACAATTGTGCCGCTATCTATATTGCGAACAATCTTTTTTTTTCATGAACAAACTAAACATATTGAAGTAAATTATCATTTCATATAAGATATTATGCTTTTCAAGCATATTATTGCTCATCTCTTTAGTTAAGAATGTATATCTTAATCAAAGCTCTAGGGCACCTACCTTTTTATTGTTTATGTAACATGATGGAGCTAATGAATATATATGCTCCAACTTGAGGGGGTGTTGATGTTTTAGGTAGTACAGGAAAAATTGGTAAGTCTCCTAGTATTGGAGATGTGATTATATGCAATTTGATATCCTTAGAATTTATTTTTCTTATGGACTGAAACATAACAAAAAAACTAGCTTGACAGACACAAATCTTGATTTAAATTGAAGTGGAAAATTATGAAAATTTAGGTGCACATTATCTAAACTTTGATTTCAATTAATTTATAGTCAAACTGATCAACTCGATGAGATGAACCATTGACACTAAAAGTAATATGATATGAGTCCAAATGAGCATAGACCAAGCACTGAAAAACATGATTAGAAACATTTTGGAGGACCAAGTTATTTTGGAATTTTGCATGTTTATAATTAAATAGTGTTGATGAGATGAATCCGACGAGCTCAAGTTCGCTCAATTTTAACATCATTAAGACACTTAAATGCTAAAAAAATGATATATATGATCAATGGAATCAATACTAATCGTCCGATGGAATGCTGAGGCTTTTGGCTATTTCTATGAGGCATGCCACAATAAAAATTATAAGTAGCTTCCCACTCTCTTACATGAAGGAGACCATTGGCCTAAGATTCAAAAGAGCTCAGAGACTTGAAGAATCCCAGAGTTTTAGCTAAGGATCATCACCACCTAAACATCGTTATCAGACAATCACCATTAGATAGATCATTATTTGATCACATTCATTAGACAACATGTCGAACCATAGTCAGCCATTGCCTGACTACCTTCATCAGACCATTCGCCCAATCAGACCGCTCCTAGATCGTTGATGTCGGACCACTGCCCGATCGGCGATCGTCATCATTAGACCACCGCTTGACCACTGCTATTGGACAACAGTCTCTGGACCACTATTGTTGAATTGCCACCGTCGGACCAATGTTTGACCACCGTCATTATATCACCATTGTCTAACCATTGCCGCTTGATCGTCATTGTAAGAACGTCACTCGATCGCTGTCTTCAGACCATTGACAACCGCGCCTAGGCGTGGCCATCATACCACTGTTGGATCGCCACCCAACCATCACCCACAAAACAACACTCGATTGGGGTCATTGAACTACTACCATCGTTTGACCACCACCCAACATTTGTTATCAGACTACCATTGTCAGACAACCATCGTTGGAGCGACATCGACCGACCGCCACCTTTGGACCATTGTTTGATCCACTTGTCAGATCATCGCTTAGCAATCGCCGTTGGACCACTGCTCGACCAACTTCATTGGATTGTTGTCGCCCAACCTCTATCATTGGACCATCACTGCCCAGCCTCTATTGTAGGGTCACCACCACCCGACCTTTGTCGTTACCCAACATCCATCGTCGAAACGTCGTCAATCGGTCACAATCGTTTGAACAACTCTCCTCAACTACCAACTATATGATATTTTCCACCAACGACTCCTACTTAATCCCACCCTCTCCAATTTGGAGACGGCCAATTATTTGTGATCAACGCTGTTGTAGTGAAATTATTTCAACCAGGCGATACCCAATGTTTTTTTCCTTCTCTAGCTTTCCACTAAAAAATATAACATCTCATGTGCTCTTTTTATTTGTTTGTTTATATGGGGGATCATGTAAAGCTAAGACGCAAAACTCTCTCACCATACTATCACAAAATTTCTAGCATACAATAGGATCCTTATTCTTGCCTATTTATTGGCCTCTCATGTTCACTGAATAATATAGTAATTAATTTTCTTCTCACCACTTTCCATGAAGCCAGATCCATGGAAAAGGTAGGGCACAAGTGCACAACCTGAGAACTATTCCCTGAAATAGCAGATGAGAGCACTGCGCCATTATAAAAATTAAAAGTTTTTTGCACTCATGGGTTCTATACTGAATCACTGGTATTTACATGCAGGATCATCATGCCAGAATTCATGTGTGTTCACATAAAGATTTTTGTTTAATTACATGACACCACTCGGCTCGAACATATTCACTTGAAAATCTTTGGTGAGAATTTTGCAAGTCTCAATGACCTGGAAGAGAAATCGCCTTCCTTCTAGAATTAAATAGAATGATAATATAAGATAACTTAACATGTCAGTATCTAGAATTGAACTTAATGAATGCGCCAAA